AACGAAAGTTTGATATGCGTAGTTCTTAGCAACAGTTGAAGAAACTTAATTATCATTAAAGGGAAACGTCTTGTAAAAGTTCACGATTTAGACTGTGATGCTATCCGTATGCTTCAGCAAATATTTTTAGAAATTGTAAATGCATTAAATGTATCAATACAAGAGAGAAAACTGATGTAATTTGAAATCGACAGTCTTTTAGGAAGACAAATGACATTCTACCACAGTGATTCAAAAAAGTGTTTGTGTAACTTCAGGTCCTATTATTTGCAAACCTGACATCGAGTCTCATGACTAATACTTATTTTACCTGCTAATTTTTATTCACGCTCCTTAAAAATTGAGCCCTTCCTCGATAATTAATTTGGAAAGAAAAAACAAAACAAAAACATATGAGACTTAATGCATCTCCATTGACCTACTAAAGGTAACCAACTGCAGCATTGAATTTGCTTTCTCTTCAATATAGGATTTTTTTTTCTAGAACTGGACAAAAAAAATAACTATTGATTCTGATTTTATCAGGGGTACTTAATATCCTAAAATTTTAGGAAGAACGTTCTGCTGCCAAGCAAGACATTTCTTTTTATCATAACTTTGATATTTTATTATATTTTAGGTTTTAAAGGTGATTCTGCATTGTATTTTTATGATTTTTAATTTAGTTCTCAAGTGTTATTATTGTATTTTTATTAGGCTTTTTTAAGTGTAATAGTTCATGAAAATTCTTGATGTAAATTAATTTTTAAGATACAGAGCCCCAATGGAGACCAGCTTTGGAGCTGAATGGGCTACTCTGTGTAAATAACGTTTTACTTACTTACTTACTAGAGTAGAAAGAATTGACATAGCGTTAAGCACTCCTTTGAAAATTTTGTTCTGTTCTATCTTCCATTTTCTGCACAATTTTTTGTTGATGTAAAAAAGTTGCTTTATTAAAAAGGGAAAATATTACTGAGCGGGGGCGCCCCTGGCTGAGTGTGACCGGGAGCGAAATGACTGGTGGCCAAAGTGTTTATTTCAAAAATTTAGTTTAGAATGCCAATTTTTGATGATCAATTTACTCTGCTCTATGAATCTGATACTCTACAACTAAAAATGCGTTTTACTTATGGAAACATTTTACATTGTGTTTGTTATTAAATATTAATTAATATCAAATTCTCACCATTGCAACACTGTTTAAGACGAATTCCGTTATTGGGAACACCCCTTACTCTTCGTGAACGCATCAACTACGGAAAAAGGTTCAAGATACTCACTACCGCCGCCGCGACTCCTAGAAACTGGTGAGAATTCGTTTTCTTGCTTTCTTTATCCTTTTTTTCTCTTGCATATTTTAGCGATCTAGGAAGAATGTGCATCTTTATAGTGTCCCAGAGGAGGACAGCATCTACATCGTCATTGTTTCTGTTCTCCATTGCAACTTCATCAATAGTTTTTTTAATTAACTCAATAAACTCGCTGTCCAACAGAAAAGATGTATTGAGTTTCCAGAAACCCGGGCCTCTAGGGTTATTATTACCAGCAAGGTGGATTGTAATGAGGGAATGATCGGTCCTGTAACCCGGTAAAATATCTGCATTTGTGATTTCTGTGATTAAGCTTAAACTGATCATAAAATAGTCGAGACGACAGTGCACTTCAGGTTTAGTTCTCCCCCAGGTAAAATGCTCACCGTCTGGATTTAGGGCTCGCCACACATCTATCAAGTCCAGCGAGTTTGCTATGTTCTGGACTTCTTTAAGCGAATTTCTATGCGTTGTCGCGTTTCCTCATTTTGTATCCTTCTGAACGTCCATGACCAGATTAGAGTCTCCTCCCATAATAATTTCTTCACATTCAAAAGAGAGCAGATGATCGAGAAGATTTTGGGAAAAAGTAGCATTGTCTTTGTTCGGTGCATAAATGTTAACCAAAGTTAAAACCTTGTTATCTATTTTCATGTCTATAATAACAAACCTTCCTTCTTGATCAGAATATTGCCTGCTTATTTCTAATTCTCGGAAAGTTATTGTTAAATAATATACAGACTCCGGCGCTTATTTTAACTGAACACTATTTTTTAATGACATGCATTTTCATAGATGGTAAAAAAATGGCACATAAAAAGAATAAAAACGAATTTTACGACTTTTACAAAAAGGTCTGGTTTGGTAAAACACTATGCTTTGCCCGAGCAAGTTAGTTCTCTAACAAAACAGATGATTCGAGAAAGCTGTTCACAATAATTATAACAAAAGGCTTGAGTGTGGGTTAAGAGTCAATTACGCAATATGCTAATAAATTAAAAGACGGAGAAACCCAAACAACATTTCTGTGTGGAATCTAGGAAGATTAGAAAGAGCTAAGCAAGTAACAATAACCAAGTGAAAGTTTTATGTGCATAGTGTATAGCAATAGTTAATGAAACTTAATTATCATTAAAGGGAAACTTCAAATGTAAAAGTTCACGATGTAGACTGTGATGCTTGATGCTATCCGTATATATGCTTCAGCAAATATTTTCAGACATTCTAAATGCATTAACTATATCAATACAAGAGAGAAAATGTAATTTGCAATCTACAGTCTTTAGGAAGAGAAATAATATTCTACAGTAATTCAAAAACGTGTTTGTGTAACTTGAGGTTCTATTATTTGCAAACCTGACATCGAATCTCGTGACTTAAATATTTAATTCACCTGCTAAATTTTATTCACGCTCCTTAAAAATTGAGCCTGTCCTTGAAATATAATTTTGAAAAAACAAAACAAAAACATATGAGACTTAAATGCTTCTCCATTTACCTACTAAAAGTAACCAACTGCAGCATTGAATTTGCTTTTTCTTCAATATAGGATTTTTTTTCTAAAACTCAACAACAACAAAAAAAATTATTGATTCTTTTTTGATTAGGGGTACTGAATATTTTAAAATTTTGTTCTGTTCTATCTCACATTTTCGGGACAATTTTTTGTTGATGTAAACAAGTTGCTTTATTAAAAAGGGAAAATATTACCGAGCGGGGGCGTCCCTGGCTGAGTCTGACCGGGAGCCAAATGACCGGTGGTCAAAGTGTTTATTTCAAAAATTTAGTTTAGAATGCCAATTCTTGATGATCAATTTACTCTCCTATATGAATCTAATATTCTACCCACAACTAATACATTTTACTAATGGCAACATTTTGTATTGTGTTTGTTATTAAATATTAATTAATATCAAATTCGCAACTCTCCGCTAATGCATCACATTTTTGAAAGTTATAATCCTTTTCGAGATACTAAGACTAAGGTCTGTAAAAGAGGTCAACATACGATTTTTTGCTTTCTTTCCCATTTTGGATGTGGTTTTTGTTTTGTTTTTGTTATTGGTTTAAGTCGATCTGCATTTTAACTAGTTAGAAAAACGACGCAAATTTACTTCATGTTGTCGCCGTTGTAGGTTGTTTATTTGTTTATTAGGAGCTCCTAAAGGTATATATGCCGTTTTTTGGTTAGGTCTTGACACAGGTGCCTCAGAGATTAATTGGGAAGGCTCATGCACTCTAAGCGAGAAAGAAAAAAGGAACCAATCAATGAGCCAAAGAAAACCCAAACAAAGTGTGAATAAATTAAAGCTTAAGATTTTCTTTTTATGTTGTAACTTTAAAAAAAAAGCCTCTTTTATTTATTAAGTCAATTTCGGAATAATTATTTTAAATGGAACAGAATCCAGGGGCTTCCGATATTTTTGTGTAGCTTATGGCGCAATAATTTGCCTGGTATGAAGTGTCAATGGGGTTTTCCCGTCAGTCGTCCAACGGCCTGACCGTTCACCGTCAGCCGTCAAAAGATGTTATATTCAACCGTCAACCGCCAAAAATGCAGTTTAAGATTAACCCTCAAAAAATTTCTAGGTATTTCAAATCTTACTATTTCAGCTGAACTTGACGGAATTTCAGCTCCTAAAGAATTTCTAAACTGGAAAAACAAGTTCTCTTGCCAAAAAAACACTCTTTCTAGACAATACAGTACCTTACAACTTGCTTATATCTGAAAATATTTTGAAATTTAGGAAGTGAAAGGCCAAGACAACCTCCAAACACATCAGACAATATTAATTAAGTATAAGTCCTATCTTAATTCCACAAAAATTCAGTCTTTGTATGTTTTCATGCAGGAAAGTCTTTAGTAAGTGCAAGAAATTTTTTAAAATAATCTTTGAAATAAAGATACACTTGAATGCGAGTAAAACGGATTTTCACTGAAATGTTTGATTGTAAGACTAGCTAAAAACGCGCTTGTTCCATATCCAGCACTTATAGTTTAGTACCATAATTTCCTCTGCCATTCTTTACTCTTCTCCAAAAAAAAAACATCTAAACAAGGTTGAAGCTTATTTGCATACGTACCACAAATGAATGGTAGAAACCTGATTTGAGGGTTTCCAAGTGCTTTTTCTCTACTTTCTGAGGTTAATTTTTAAGTTTTCTCAATTTCACTTGCTTTTATGGGTCTTTCATTTTGCTGGGTTTTAACGATAAAAGGTTTTGCCTTACTTAGAAATGTACATACTAGGATTATTTTTTTGCGGGGTGTGGGTGAAGAGCGGCGCCAACAATTATTTTCCTTTAGCTAGTTATAATCACAACCATCTTGTATTTTGAATTTTGAAAAAACTAGAAGAATAACTCATCGCAAAGAATGCCGCGAAACATCCGGGAATTTCTCATGTACGGCGGTAAAATTGAAATTTCGTGGAGAAAAGTACGTGTGACAACAGAGAAAATGGCCCAAACGCAGCCACCTTTTAGTAAGTTTTTCTGTTCTAAGTGTTTACCGGCTCACTAATTCCCCTATGGTTTCTACAAGTATTATCAAATTCGGTTTGAAAATTGGCTATTTTAGATGCTTTGCAGTATACAAGTTGTTCTTTAGGCGGAAACGGACGACGAATTATACAATTAATAGGTTAAGTTTACCTTTTGTAAAGTTTGTGTTTTAACAAAATACTTTTATGTAGTTTAGTTCCAGACATGACCGCAAGAATAGTTTTCCGTATCTTCGTTCTGGCTCTCCTGCTCTACAGCGCAGTAACTCAAAAATGTCCTGCAGGTGGTAGATCCGAGAGCTCCATCGTAGGCTGGATGTTACGAGGACACGTGTACGACACTCTTCTCACTGAACTTCCGTTTACGTGCGTATTCAAGTGTCGCGAAGACAATCGATGCCAAAGTTTTAACTGGGTTATCTCTCTTCTCACGTGCGAGTTTAACAACAGGACAAAGGAAGCCAGGCCTGAGGACTTCATTCCAAACCCAGACAGATCTTACTATCGACGCGATTTACAACGAGGTAAGCCATCATTAATTGCCCAGGGTAGTTTTATAAAGGCCGTTACGGGAAGGCTCCCACCGAAAGGGGTACCTCTGACAGGCTATATATGTATGAAAGAGCTAACAAATTTCGCTGCTTGAAGTATATGAAAGGGTAGGAAAATTAGTCATCTATGTAGGCCTATAAAATGACTTAAAAGAGCTAACATATGCATTTTATGGATGAGAAAAAGCCGAGGGAAATTTTTCTGGTTTTGTGTTTATTCATGTTTAAAAGACTGAGCATTTACAGCAGTTAAGAGGGATGCAAAATTACCGTAAAATCCCGCGTTAAAGCTCCCCTCGTCCCTCCGGATTTAAACCCATCCATTTGCTAACGAAGATATTATTCCGGAAATAAGCCCATCTTATGTATAAGCGCGTTTTGTAAAACAGTAGCCACTTGAATTGGAACCATGAAACTACGAAATTGTGCAGGTGAAATAGAAAAATGAACTTAGTTAATGCTACCCAGAGGACCGTTTCTTGAAGTTTTTCTACTTTTGTCCTGTTCCGTTCCAGTTGTTGAATTGTTTTATAAATGTTTCTGAAATACATTCTCCATTTATTGTGATAAATTTATAGCGGTATGTTTGCTTTAATTCGGTTCAGATGTGTTTTATCCCGTCGTTTCCAAACATTTTTTTTTTCGCTTATACCCCGCGCCCCTCCTCCTTTATAAGCCCACCCAAAACCCTTCATGAAGTTATATAAGCCCAGGGCTTTAACGTGGGATTTTACGCTAGTTCTAACATTCGTGAATCGAAGGTATACGAACCTCTCTTGTCAAAAACGTTGTATAAAGGGGTAAGGGGTAGGACCTCTGGGCGGAACCTCTGGTCCTGTATAAAACTTTGTTGAGTAGCGCCCCGTGCATAAAGTAAAAACTATGCAGGGGTAAAGGCACACTGATAATGAAGGATTGTTTTAAAACCTTTCAGTTCCCCTTGGTTCGATTCAAGAACTACCAGCTGAGACTTGTGACGAAATAAAGTGGAGTGAAGGACACGCTGTTAGCGGGAAATACTGGTTTTCCACTATAAAAACTGGTACATCTGTCTTGGCTTATTGTAATATGGAGACCAACGGTGAGTTTAGTCAATTACATAATCGGCGATTGCTGTTAAGCTGATTGTGCCCTCTGATAAGTTAATTTATGATTATAAGACGACTGACGTGAATGTTTCATATTTAGTCTGGCGACCGATGAAAAATTAACCGGGAGATTTAAACTGATAAGACACGGAGAAAAAAAGATAAATTTAAAAGGAAAACAAGACTCATGTCAAGAAGGAATGAGTACTCTCAGCGTCACATGTTAGGGCCTGAGTTAATGCCCTTTAATGATTTTTTCGCCAATCAATATGTTTGTTGTTCTAGATATTGACGAATGCAGTGCTTCTTCTCCTGTATGTGACATCAATGCCAACTGCTCCAATACTCGTGGATCGTATATCTGTACCTGCAGGGCAGGATATACAGGCGATGGAAAAACTTGCCAAGGTAGGATAATGCTCGATTTATTTTGATAACAACGAAGATGGCAGATTCCCAGGGACTTGTAATGAATAGTAAAAATCGGCAATCCATCGAATCCAGTCTTTTTATATACGGGCAGTGCATCACATCATGCCTCGGGTTATACTTCTAGCCCAGTAGAAAAAGAAAAACAAAATTATGAAGCAACAGCACCGGGTAACCCTAGGTTTTTGGAACAGCCTATACAGATAAACTCTGCTTTAATTAGAAGAATTATGAGAGATGTATAAAAAACTGAGATGAGTTCTTGCGCGGACAACTCGATGGCGAAAAAGAAGAAAACTCTAAAACGTTTTGGTTCCCTGTTGAGGAAATTCAGACTGTTTTCAACGTGGATCGAGCAAGGTTGAATATTTTCATTATTATTTCATTATTATTATTATTTGATTTTATTTTGTTAGCAAGGAGCCTTCGATAGATCCTTGTGGAACTCCAATATTTTTGTTTTTCTAGACATTGACGAGTGCAGTGCTTCTCCTCCTGTATGTGACATCAATGCCAACTGCTCCAATACTCGTGGATCGTATATCTGCACCTGCAAAGCAGGATACAACGGCGATGGAAAAACTTGCGGAGGTAGGAGAAACTATAAAAGCTAATCTAAAGGTCAGTTACTTTACTGTTACAACATCAATTACGGAAGTTTCCTAAGGACGTGCGACATCATAGCATTCAAAATGGCGGCTAATGAGATCAGCAATCCGCTTTCTTATCTAGCATTGTATGACGTCATACCTCATGTTATGCTTCTGCTGGAGCCTATAACACGGAGCGAGTAACTTCCATGAACTCTTGTCACGGCGTTTTCACCAACGATTTTGGCGCGAATTTAGAATATCGTTTAGATCCCCCAAACCAGTCAGCAAAAGGAAAGGCCTGAAACTGGCATTTTTGACTTTTAAATAACTCTGCATCATGAGCCGCCACTTAAGATCATGCGCTACCTCACTTCCGTCCAAAGTGCAAATGGCGTAAATTTAAATCATCTAGCTCATAATAAGGATTAGATTTGAATAAGGATCTAGGATGTTACCTTCATACTTATTTATCAGCATACATACACTTTTCTATAATTTCATTTATGTCTACATTTTATTGTACATATAACGCACTTATTTTTCTAAGTATATAATTACTTCTTTTAAGAAATAATTACTTAAAAGTGGTCCTTAAGCAATTATTGAATGAGGCTAATTAGGATGAAAAACTTTGCAGATCTAGGGGGATGTTGAGATAGACTGCTTGCAGTCCGCCTTTTCTCTTAAAATCCGTCAAGTTCTTATCTCATCCAGCGCGATTGCATACCACGACGTTATTAGTGAGCTTAAGATCCGACGACGGCGAGATTCTACGACGGCAGACTTGGTCGAGGGGGCTTGGGGTGAGGTCGCCGTCGCAATGGCGCGAAAAATAGTATTAAGAAAGCTCGCGCGACGGCGGGTTGTTGTAACGCCTTTTCCCGTTGAAGTTTAGAAATAAATACAAGAGCGATGGCTACTTTTCTAGAAATGTTCGTGAATTGTTACTGACAAGTTTCGATGATGGCGACATTTCAGAAGATGAATTTTTACTGTTGTATGATGTCAACAGATCTAAAAGTCTGGATTTTCCCTACCAGAATTACGAACATTTTGAAGACTTCATCTCGACCTTGGAAACCGGTTAAATCGATTCACCGTTAAATCAGTTCAGATCTTTCTAAAGCAAATCAAAGCGGTCTCAGTCATGTTTGTGTACATGTGTACATGTGCAATATGCCGCCTAATTCAAGCATAAGCTAATCGTGATGTTGTATTTTGAGCAGTTTCGAGAAGCAAGCGTTTCGTGTCTCGACGACGATGCATTTTTTTTGTCTTACTGAAAGCTCTTGATTATAATTACATTGTAAGAGAAGCCGAGTCAAAAAAAACGCTATTTCGAGAAAAGATGAGTGACATAATCCACTGGACCTCAATTTAATGCCGAAACAAGTCTACGATATCATAATTGTTAATAAACACATCAATAAACACAAGAAAAAACTTGTAAAACTTACTTGGTTGCTTTCTTTGTCGAGTTGACCGAGTCCATGGCGATTAACGAGTCAAACTGTTTAGAGAAGGCAAACAAATTTAATTTAAATACCGTGTTCAAATCGTTTAAGTCGCTTAGAAATTCGACAAAAATGGTCTACTGAGAATAAACTGTTAACAGTGCTAAAGAATTTCACTCAAAATGTGTTTAAATGGCATTATTTTGATCAAGTTTACTCACGTTTTACACGCGACGGCAAAATGGCCTTCTTCACGTCACAGACAAGGCCGCTACGGCGGGAAACTTCGCAACGACGGCAGCCGGAAGTCTTTCTAACAGTAATTTCACTTCAGCTCGCCGTCACAGACGTCTGCCGTCGTCGGATCTTAAGCAGGCTATTATTAAAGGGACGAGACAGGAAAAGACGGACTGCTGACTCTTTTGTAGTAAACAAACCCTCCGTCAGCCCAGAAACGGAGTAACCGATTGGTCAATTGCACAGCTGTTGACAGATCATTAACTGGTCTGTGGTGAGATTGCAATCAATAAAAATAGTCACACGTCACAACTAACTGCAAACAATAGCGAATCAAGCAGTAATCTCAGTAATAAAACTTATAAGGATATCTTACAGAAGGAAATTGCTGTAAATTGTCTCAAGGGAAACGGATTCAAGGCAGTCTTACCGGATTTAAAGAAAGGGTAATTTTTTCAGTTGTTTATGTTCTATTTATAAATCGTTTCAAGTTACTCGTGTTTAATTGATTAATTAAATTACCTTGACAGCTTCGCTGTTCCCCGCAAACAGAACAAAAGAGTCACTGAGTCTCTTATTTTTTCTTCTCGGGCTTACGCCCTCGTTTCTCGCGGCTTGCTTCGCCGCTCGCGTGCTTAGGTTTCGTGTGCAGTAACTTTGCAAAGAAAAATAAGAGACTGCTCGCAGTCTAATGTTGAGGTGGATAACAAGTGCATCCTCCGAGATCTGCATAATTCTTCACATTATACGAAAGCCTCATTCATTTATTGTGTTTTTTTGTTTTGCTTTTTTCACTCAAAATATTTCTTAATTCTTATTTAACAATTTTACCTCCTCGAAGACTTTCTTCAAATTTTTGGCCTTTTTCTCGGCACAGTTTTTACTTGCAGATAACATCCATCGAGCGATTTTTTTTGCGTATTCTTGCAATTCTTCCATTCAGTTTTAGTGTATAATTCAGCTATTCCGGATAGTCGTGAACGCCTTTTTTTTTCAGAGTTCACTGGTTAATAATCAGCTAGGCGGCCGCGCCAGGAAATGAAGTTGATCTATACGATATTAAGAAGATGCGAGCAATATACCAGACATAACTAATCGATGACATCAATGACATCAGTGAAATCAATGAGTAATCAATAGGTAATCGATAGGTAATCAGTTGATTAGTCATTGATTATTGCCGATGATCAATGAGTAATCGATGACTAATCAATAGGCCACAAAATTTTTGGTCATCGATTAGTTATCGATTGCATCGATTAGTCATTGATTGCAAAGAGAAAGAAAAGAATGAAAAAATAGAACGTATGAAACAGGGATATGCCGAAAAATGACAACAGCGGTTCTAAAACAACTCTTAAAAGATAAAGGAATCGCGTTTAGCTCAAAGGCCAAAAAATAAGAACTTGTACAAATATTCAGTACTCAAGCTGGTTATGTGACTGCTTATGACGGATGTTTCCCTAAGCCGAAGCGGTTTTACTTTGCTGACAAACACCCACAAAAAAAATCTATAACCACGTAGCCGATTCTTGTCAGCGTACTTGTTAGTTTCATTTTCAGACTGGTTGGTTACTGTTCAGTTGTTTGTTATTAAATAAAGAGTTGGGTAAAGTGAAATCGATATTGCACAATTGAGAATCATCTGTATTTGTGATTAGCACTTTGCGTCTCGACATCGTCAACAGGATCTTCAGATACAAGGAAAAATGCGTCTAACACAGATAAAAGAATCACAAACGAAAAAAAATGGTACAAGAAAGCAAGAAAGTGTCTTTCGTGCGCAGCATGATAGTCGATGAGTAATCCATGGGTCATCGATGAGTAATCAATTACATCAATGAGTAATCGATGTCATCGATGAGTAATCGATAGGCCACAAAATTTTTGGGCTTCGATTACTCATCGATTACTCATTGATCATCGCCAATAATCAATGACTAATCAACTGATTACTCATCGATTACTCATTGATTACCAATTGATGTCATTGATCATCGATTAGTTATGTCTGGAATATACCATCGATTTGATGGTATATTGCTCCATCCTCCAAATATGGTAACTGCCAGTTGATTAGGGGCTTTGAGCCAATCAGAAGCAGCGAAGCATTTTGAATGAATAATTGTAATTAACGTATTCTATTTATGCTATTTCATTTTATAAGTTGTTCATTTATGTTTATCGCACGTTTTAATATATCTATACAGATACTTTAGTGTGATAAGTGTTTAAATTATTTTAAGTGCTATCAGTTTCGAAAAAACATGTTACCTGAATCACCTTTTCTTTTCTCTTCCCGTACATCAGTTTTCGCAGAGGGACTGACTGACTCCGTTATCTTAGGAGATAATGTGCATCACTTATCTAATTTAAGCAGATGGCTCAAACCGGTCGCCCAAAGCGAATCTTCAAAATGGAAGCGATGTTGGCGTGCGTCCGTGGATGGCTGGGCTGCCAGTACTTTTCACAGCCAGTGTTACAACAAAGGACCAACTGTAACAATCATAAGAGTCGGAGGGAATTACATATTTGGAGGCTACACTAGTCTCTCATGGGGTAAGTGATCTAATTTTGACAGTCTACACACCATACAAAGCCGGCCACCTTTTAGTATCACACCATGGTTGCGTGTTTGCGTATACTAAACTGGAGGGACGTACGGACCCTCGACCGGCCCCTCTCCGACAATACTGTTTACTTACTCTCTCCATTTTAACAAAACAATGTTTGGGAATTCGGGTTTGTATGATTAACACCAATTCTGTAGGGTTACTTCATTAGGGAATCGTATTCGTATTCGTAATCGTAACGTTGTTTCATGCAAGAAAGTCAAACAATGATACTATTATGAAAATAAACAGCTTTTTAAATAACAACATGAATTTAAAACAAATGTAATGGGGAAACGATGGATATGGGTGTTGGAATGGGTTAGGGCTAAATCTTCACGAAGACGGCTTTCTCTCTCATTTTCCATCAATAAAGCGCAAATAATGCGAAGTAGTAGTATATACAAGGTGAAGAAAGTTCTGTTACTCAGGGATGACAGCTTGACTTACACCAGTGCTTTATCACCGGTGTATGTAAGCGGTTATATTATTCTAATATTTTACCAGCCGAAACTCGGCCTGGATTTTTTGCAAGCCATGTGGGTTTTGACTTTTGAGCTAACTTGAATGGGTGCGGCTGGAACTTCAAACGAAGCGGGTGGAAGTTCGGGAATTGCATCAGCTTTCTCTTCCATATATAATACCTTTGAAAAGTTTTGTTGTGAATTTCTTGGACAAGAAATTGTCCAGGCTCTTCTTAAACTTATTGTCCAGGTTTTTTCGCAGGTGAACTTCTGGGCCAAAGTAATTGCTGTTTTGGCGATGATACAAACTGGTGTGCCTATCTTGAAAACAATTTCTTTGGCATTCTGTGAATTACGAGCTGGGAAATGAAATAGTTGTCCGTCCAACATCAATAAACAATCATGAATAAATGGCAGGCGGCCATGTAAAATCATTACAAAAGTACATTCCTAACCTGGTCTAAGCTGTTCGACGCCTACCTACGCTAAAGGTTTGGATCAGTTAGGTTAGAAAAGGTCTCCAAAAAATAAAAAACACATCTATATATAGGACACAGCACAAACGACTGGCCCATCATTTATAAGGTTCATAACCTGTATATTGTTCACGTCCTTTCACTAATGGCAAAGGTCAATGTCAAAAATATTGCATGTCCCCTCTGTTACTCAGCAGTACTTCATTCGCTTAAGTTAACCATTTACCAGAACAATTTTCATTGTACCTTAATGTTTCCATCCTTTTTCCACTATTGATAATACTTGTGAAAAC